TGGGGAGAGACACAGGGAAAGGGGGGAGAGAGATGGGTTGGAAAGGGGGAGGGAGAGAGATGGGGAGGGGGAGAGACACAGGGAAAGGGGGGAGGGAGAGAGATGGGGAGGAGGGAGAGACACAGGGAAAGGGGGGAGGAAGAGACACAGGGAAAGGGGGTGAAAGAGGCAGAGGGGGAAGAGAGAGACAAAGAGGGAGAAATGAGAGAGAGACACACAAGGGGAGGGGAAGAAAGAGGCAGAGGGGGAAGAGAGAGGCTGGGAAGGAGAGGGGAGACATTGACACAGAGGAGCAGTGAGGGGGAGAAAGAAACATACAGAGTGACTGGGGGAGACAAAAAGGCACACAGAGGGGCTGGAGATAAAGAGACACACATAGGGGCAGTATATATCACAAAGCCCCCAAGGCTTTCCCCTGCCGGCCGATCTCCCTCCCCGTTCCACAGGCACCACGCAGCCAGTCGGCAGGGGAGGAAGAGAGGACCTGGGGCAACGCTCCGGCTCTCATGAGGGTGAACTCTGGTTGAAGTACTTTTTAATTTTAAGTTATCTGTTCTAACTCTGTATCTGCACACTATGCTGGCGTGATGCATTATGGGGCTGGTAAATATTTTTTTTCCAGGGCTGCTTTTAATTCCCAGTCCGGCCCTGGTAGAGAAAAGTGGACATAAAGTACATCTCTGGTCAATTTGACCATTGCTTAATATAATACCCTCTTATCTATTACTGCTCCTTCAGTAGCCTGAACTACTAAATTGCTGTCTTCATGTACGGGCTATTCTGATTTAAAAGTATGCTTTGATTTATCTTTTTATGTTGACAAACTGAAATAGAACATGTGCAACTTTGCTCATTTCATTTGTTTAGGAATCTCTAATTATCCTATCCTTCCTTTCTCCCACAGTAGAAATGTAAATAACTCATCCACATGACTGGTGTCACAGACAGTATTACATGGTCTTCACATGAATCACATGTCTTATTTATTTTAAGATTGCTTCTACTGAATCTTTTCCTTGATAACATGGTATTAAAAAGAAGTAAACATATTATTTCAGTTGCATTTGTCCAAAGTGAATATGCATTTAAAATTTGATCTTTAAACCGCTCACAATTGCGTCTGAAATTAACTGACAACTAAACTTGGGCACCAACAAAATGTTCACTTTACTCAAACCAAATTTTGTTTGTTAGTTTTCGGCCGAAATTCAGCCAGTATTTATGTTTTCGAAATTTCAGATAATGCCATAAACTGGTAAACTTGTGGGATTGCCATATTTAAGGGTGCCAACTTGCCAAGTTAGAGAGCTGTTTAGTAGAACTACCTCTGGTGCAGCTGAGGAAACTCATCAAGTGACCCATGCCTGATGGGTATACTGGCCCGGTCAGGCTATTAAAGGGCCACTGCACTCAGCCAGGCCACTAATTAGCAATACTCATGAGGCATGGGCCACTTGATTGGCTCCCATTATCAGGCGAGTCCCAGTGCTGCTGCACCACCTGCACCCTCTACAGCCCCTGACCCACCTCTACATCCAGTACAGCCGTGCGACTACCTTCTAATATGATTTAGTGGTGTAAATTATTAGTGCCCACCACAGCAGCGATACTGCCACCAGTGCAGCCAGTGTTGCTGCACTCTTGTCAAAGCACGGAGGGGGCCCATATCCGATGGGTATTGCTGAGTAGGGGCCAAGTCAGATGCAGTGGCCCTTTAACAGCATGATCGAGTTCCTTTCGCATTACTTCTGCTGGGAGGAAGCAAGTTCACATCACTTCCTCCCAGCTAACAGGAGGGAAGCAAGGAAAGAATAAGACTCCAGACCCACCCTCCCTCCCATCAGACTGTGGGCCAGCAACAGAACCCCAAGCAAGCACATAAAAGGTATGTTAAAAGGCGGGCGTCTAAACATATAAATATTCTGACATATGTATGTATCTATATATGTCAGTGTGTGTATCTGTGTGACGAGATGTATATATGTTGATGTCTGTGGGTGTATGTTTATCTTTGTAAGTATGTTTGTGACAGTGTATGTGTGTATATCCATTGATCCCAGCTATCAAACTCCAACACAACATGCAAACACACTACTTTAAATGCAAACATTACATACAAACACACCCCTGTATTAAAATGACAACATTATACACAAACACACCCTTTCATTCACATACCAACACTACACACAGCTGAAAAATACAGGCAAGGACCAGCACTTGTTTTTTAGGAATCCTAATCTACAAACATATGTGGATAATAATATTATGATTAGCTGCTATACATTCAAGTGATTCCTTACAATGTCACAAGTACAATATACAAACGAAAAAAGGGAATGTAGCGCTTATATAAACGAGTAAATGAATTAATCACCTTTTAATTCAATTAGGATGAGAATTTTGGTTGTCTGTCAAATCTCTAGGCATCTACAAGAGACAATTATATACTACACACAACTGTATAGCTGCATATAAAAGCCAACACTACATACAAACACACCATACATTAAAGTGCAAACACTACCCACAAGTACACCACTGCATTCCAAAATGCTTGAAAACTGTTTTACAAAAGCCAAAGTGTCTGTTAAAGGGACACTCCAGGCACCCAGACCACTTCTGCCCATTGAAGTGGTCTGGGTGCCAACTCCCATCACCGCTAATCCTGCAAGTGTAATTATTGCAGTTTTTATAAACTGCAATAATTACCTTGCTGGGTTCAGTCCATTGCCGCCCACACGCATTAGGTCTCCCTCGCCGGCTGTCGTCGGCGGTGGAGAAGCATGCCCAGGGCCTGACCCAGCGCCAAGGGACATCGGCGCTGGATTCACGTAAGCCATTGAAACCCATTCAGTAACATGGGATTGTGGATGTTAGGGAGGTGGGAACTGGAGGGTCCTGCAGTGCCAGGAAAAAGGATTTGTTTTCCTGGCACTGGAGAGTCCCCCTTTAAGCATAGTGCAAGGAACCTAGTCTCACAAAATCAACAGTGCCAAGGAACAAAAATAGATCAAGCACACTTCTTCTTACAATGTTCAGACTTCCATGTTTATTGGGTCATACGGAAGGTGAGTTTTGAACATGTAACCTGTGACAATGCTCTGATTGGTTTGAGCTCAAGGTACAGCTACTCTTCTTCTGCACCCAGAACACACAATAACAGACCATAGATTGCTGGGCTCTCTTCCCTTGCATTAGAGGGAGCAGAGTGAGTGGAGGGGGCCCACACACCTGGTGGCACACTGGCCAAGCTGCCAGGCCCCTCCTAGTGTCAGTGCGTTAGTCTGTGACCAAGTGCTTGATTCGATGGGTCGGTCTGTTCACTGGAGCGCAAAACACTTATATTGCACTATCAATTATTTAACTCAAGGGGTGCAGAGATTTGCACCCGGAAGAGTACTTTTTTTCTGTACCTTGATGCTGAGGTACAAATATTTTTTAACAATCATTGTTTTATTTTGTGAAATCAATACAGACTTTAAACATTGAACCAGTATCCTTGACTTTGGTATGATATATTTGTTTACAGCAACACAAAAGTGATAATTAGCAGATGCTCTAATACAGAAAGAGTGGAGAAAACTATATGAAGCAACAAAAATGACTTGTTCCTTCTTCCACCAGACAAAACCACATAGAAGTACACAAAAGAAGGTTTACTTCTAAATTAATACTTATCAAAACCTGTGTACAGAATTTGACAATAAAAAAATAAAAGGCATGTGTGTAAAAACAAAAAATAAACCAATATTTTCCATTGAAATCAGTATAATTTTGAAACAAAGCATTTCGGGAGCCAAATGCATAACAGGCTCGTGATGTTCAGGGAGGGTAAAGAGATCCAATAAACTGAAAGGTTTACATTATTTTTTATGTTATTGCCATGTAATTCATGCTACAGTTTAAGCATCTCAGCACAGCATAGTTACTCAACTATTGCATGATCCTAAAGAAACTAACAAACATTGCATTAAAGAGATGCCAGAATTGTACACCCTCTGGCATATGTTACATTTATGAACTGCATAAAAGGTGCAAACAAAGTCATATGACTGAATGTAAAGATATGTTCCACGTTTCTGTACACTGGAAATCTACATTAACAGAATACAAAGTCTGTTTAGCCTAATTTGCCTTGCTAAAGTCCCTGCTTTGTTTTCTGGTGTTATCATTCCCAAGTTAGTTAGGTCTGCCATGTTTGGCAATTTGTGTTTTATGTAGAGCATTCCAAACTGTGTGTTGTGAGATGTTAGTGTGTTGCACGAATGACGCACTGATTAGTATGGTGCAATCGTCGGACCACGGTGTACATAAACTGATATGATGCAAAGGGAATGCACTGCACAGCGCTCCACCCCTGCTGGTCACTGCATGTAGCGTGGCCGAGTAGGTGGACTGTGGTAAAGGAACTTCTGTATCCTCTACCTGGTCTGACAGGAAGTGCTTACTGAGAGCAACAAGCTGCTTTCTGTTGGACCGGGTACAGGAAATAGAGGCCCCTCTGCCTCAGACTACATGCTCGGCCACGATACGTGGAGAGAGGCGAGGCAAAGCAGGTAGGCGGAAGGAGGACAAAAGAAGGGCACAGTAGAAGAGGGGGAAAAAAGGGCAGAGGAAGGAAGGAGGGGAAAAACAAGGGCACAGGCAAGGAGGTGGACAAAAGAAGGGCACAGGAGGTGAAAGGGACAAAAGAAGGGATCAGGAAGAGGTGTGACAAATACACACACAGGGGCTGGGAACACAAAGAAACACAGTGAGTGGCATATGGGGTACAAAGAAGGGCTAGGGGTAAGAGACACAAACAGGGGAAAGGGAAAAAGAGGCATACAGAGGTGAAGGGGGAAAAGAGACACATATTGGGGTTGGAGGAGAAGCAGATGCACAAAGGGGCCTAGGGAAGAAAGAAGACTGCCAGTCAGCCTCAACAGTCTGCCAGCCACAGCCAGTCTGCCTGCCAAGCAGTCACAGCAACCTACCAGACGGCCACAGCTGCCATCCAGCGGCCACAGCTGCCATCCAGTCACAGCAGTCAGTCAGCCAGCAACAGTACTTAAGGTTATAAGAGCCAACTGGGCTGGTTATCAGATGAATAGGCGCCAAACTGTTAGAGAAATGCTTCATACATGTTCTGTGTATGCACAGTATGCATAATCGCTGATTCCACATCACTTCCGGTGAAGCGGCCGCAACTGAAATGATGTGTTCCAGAAATAGAACACTGTCTCGACCACCATCGTGTCGTTAAATGATGCGTGACTGAAAATTGTGTCACCAACATGAAAAGTGTTTAACTAATTCTTGCAAATTTGTTGCCTGTCCTGTAATGAACTTGATCTGCCTATCTGTTCTCCTACTTTGCTCCAGTAATCCAGATGTTTTTGATGATTTAGATTTGTCTAATTTAGATATATTTCTAATTAGATCTATTCCATTTCCCATCTGTACATCCTGTCTCAATTTCAAGTAGTCAAAGAAGGATGGTTTCAGTTATTCAAGTTGCAGCATTGTTCTGCTCTGTTAACAATTTGTAACTACAGTCATATTGCTGTTCAACTACTAGAATGACTGTAAACATTTAGTTCTACTTCATATCCCTGCAAAACAGTGTAGCGCTTACAACATCACAAAATCTGGTACATACAGACTGACGTGCAAAGTTGTGCTTATAAAGTGTCCAGTGGAACGTGTAATTAAAAAGCAATTATGAAGGCCCATGCGTGTATATGCAACTTAAAGTGCTAAGTGTTAGGACCTGCAGTGGTTATGGTACTGCAGCCTTCTATTCCTTTCCCAATAGCTGAGCATAAGTGATTATAACTGCAGTTAGGAGGTAGAGGAATAGTGTAGATGAATGCAGCTTCCAAGATGATTTTCCCCAGCAAGTAGAATATTCCCCAAACATGAGCCTAGACTTCATGAAGGGTGTAACAGGGATGAAGTTTATTGATGCCACACTGGCTTTCATGAGAAATCCTCCTGCAAGAGGACCTCCCACAGTAAACAAAGACAATAACCAATCAACATACAGATTTACAGTAACCCCCACCCTCTCTCTGCCTGGGAGATATTGAAATAAGTTAAGGAATAACTTTTTTTTCCCAAAAATTAGAACACCCTTTTCAACACAAGGTATCCCCACAAATTACACATATCCCCTGATAGCCCCGATCTGGGGGACCAACATATCCAAATTTCACCCAGATCGGTTCAGGGGTTCTTAAAAAGTATGGAAGTCACAAGTTCCACGAATTCAGCGTGTGCAGTCGGTCAATTCAGAAAAAGGCATAAAACGAATAAAAGTCCTGAATGGATCCTCCTGGCTGTTCGGCAACTAAAGGAAGCAGGCGTTCTGTAGTTTCAGCGGTGGTTCGGGAGGTCGAGTGTCCGATTTTAGTTCAAGACACTCAACGACCAAGTCCCGCTGCCTCCTTTCGTGAAAACAAGATGGCCGCCGTTTTCTGTTCCACGTGACATTCGGCTATACGAACAGCAGCCGCCCAGAGAGCGCTTAATAGATGGTTCTTTTGAAGTTAATGAGCCAGGAGGGTGGTCGGTGTTCGGTAGTTTTAAACTACCGAACTAATAGATCCCAATTGAACAAAAAAATAGCAGAAAAAGCCAAAACATAGGAGAAAATACCGAACTTAGTCTATTTTCTTCACAATACTCCCCCTTAGTTCCATGGATCGGCATACCCGCCTAGACCCTGCTGGGTTGGCTAGGGGATGTCCGGGTAACATAATTATACATCCAAATCAGTCTGGCGGGAAAGACCATCCGCATTGCCGTTCTGCTTGCCCGGGCGGTATTGCAGGGACCGCCTGCAGGCGCTGACCGTATCCGTTCGGGAGAACCTGCAGGTGGCCCAGAAAAAACAGAAACAATGGTATGACCGGGGGGCACGAGATAGGAATCTGGAAGTGGGGCAAAAAGTATTAGCCCTCAGACCTTCCAAAAAGGACAAGCTCCAGGCAGCTTGGCAGGGGCTATTTAAAGTGGTGGAACGGATTAGCGACACCACTGATATTGTAGCCAAATGTTTAGATGAAAGGATCAGACGAGCCTTTCATGTGAACATGTTGAAACCGTATTTTGAGTGCCCAGAGAACGTGGCCGTTATCTGTGCCCCGTCCACTGATGATAGTGAAGGACTCCCCTTGCCCGACCTACTGGCAGCTAACCAAGGTACCTTAGAGCAGGTCGGGTTAGGGGAGAAACTAGACCCCACACAGTAGGCAGACACAAAACAACTGCTCCAGGAATACGGTGGACTGTTCTCGGTCCTACCCAGGTACACCTCTGCCTCAGTGCACCGGGTAGAGACACAGGGGGAAACCCCATTACTGTAACAACCGTACTTTTTTCTGATTGGTTGTTTTTCTGTGCTGCTGTGGAGTTCTAGTAAAGAGAGACTAAAGCAAATACTCGCCTCCTGTCATTAATACAATTAAGATTATAGGTACACTAAAGCTAGCATATCTACAATTTTCTAAATACTTTCATTAGTCCCTGGCCCTAACTTATAACTAGGATAGCCTTACGCCTGTCCCACGTATGCCTAAACTACTTCACTGTGTTAACCTCTACCACTTCAACTGAAAGGCTATTCCATGCATCCACTACGCTCTCATTAAGGTAATACTTCCTGATATTATTGTTAAACCTTCCC